TCTAAGTGAAATATCATATCGACAGTTGAGGCCGTTGTGCGATGCTCCTCTTAGGATCTAGTCCCCACCCTTCTTCTCAGTCTTCTTCTTAACCCCGACAACGAGCGATCCCTCGGTGTGGTCCAGAATGTCCTTGGCGGTCGTCGTCTTGTCGATGATCTTGCTGTCCTAGAGAGGCAGAATAAAATCGGAACCCATTCAAAGATAATGTGCATATGGTGTCCTGAGCCGAGTCCAGTGCCGTCTGCAGCTGGGTACGGGCAGAGGTGAGCTTCTTCACCACCGCCTGGAGATCCGTCTTCAAGGCCTCCCGGACATTGGTATTCCTTGGCAAAGGTGTGTAGTATAATGCAAATAGCAAAGCAAGTTCGGTAGTCGATTTTGGGCCCCGGACAAGGCACTCACCTCTTTTGAATGGATCTTCGTGGTCGCATCCTTGATCTTCCGGTTCAGGGTGCTGATAACCTGGCGAAACAACTTTTATGAACAGACCAGAAAGGACTACCGGAGTGATGAATGCCTTCTTTCCCTCCTGCTGCACCTTCCGACTCTGCTCCTTGTCCAAATCCTCTTGCATTTCTGCCTTCTTGAGCTTTCCCTTGCCTCCCCTCTTCTTGTTCTTCTTCTTGCTTTTGTCTTTCTTATCCTTCTTATCCTTCTTATCCTTCTTATCCTTCTTTTCTTTCTTGTCTGTCTTCCTCTTCTTCTTGGCAGCAGCACTGCTGCTGGAATCCTCATCGCTGTCCTGCATCCAAGAAAAAAAGACGGAAAGCCGAAATGTTCGTAGGTCATACGTACAGAGCCATGTCCTTCGAATCGTCACTCGACTCGCTTCCGGGTCGCTGCTCCATGTTGAACAGCTGTTCGATTTCATCCGTGCTTTCGTCCACCTCCTCGTCCTCGACGAGGACCAGGAACTGCCTGAGGCCTGCCGTGCATCTGGGTGTCTTCCTTGCTTAAGCTGCTTCAGCAAAGTGTACAAAATCAAGACTATCCTGCCTGGCAGCTCGGGGTGGTCTCGAATCTCCGCCTCGGCCAATTCCTTGTCGGCTTCTTTCCTCAGTACTATGGCCTCGACAGTGGGTTCGTCACCAAAGTGTGCCAGAAGTTGGCTCTTCGTAAGCCATCTGCGTGAGGCTCGCTTGCCGTTCTTATGCTTGTGGCGGATTGTTTTCATAATGACAGAGTTCTGCCACTTGCCATTACACTGCATGAAATCCTCGTACAAGGCGGACGTCTGTGTCTTGCCTCGGACGACGAGACATGTATTGACTAGGCCGGAAGTGGTATTTGAGGTCAAGGCAATACTTGAAGCGGTCGAAGGCGTTCTTGATTTCCATTGGGGTTCCCCGACCTAACTCAACTCTCAAGAATAAATCAAGTTGGAACCATCTGGGAAAAGAAGGAAGCATTGAGCACTCGGTCTAGGCCCAAGGCATTCATTAACTGATCGCCAGAACCTCATGTAGAGCTTGTGGGCCTTCTTCTTCTTCTCTGCAACCTCGGGGCCTTGCTTGGACTTGGACTCTGTGCTCTCATCCTTCTCGGTCTCTTGGGTCTTGCTGGGGTTCTTGTCGGGGGTCTCGGCACGGCTCTTCCTGGGCTTCTTGTTGGGGGTCTCGGCAGCATCCTCCTTCTGGGCTGGGTTCTTGGCGCTTTTGTCTTCTGTCTGCTTCTCCTTGGGGGTCTCGGCGAGGTTCTTCTCACTGGGCTTGGTTTTGCTGCCTCGTGTGGTGGAAGGGCTTTCGGACTTGGGGGCACAGGGGCTGGCCTTTGCCTTGGCACTCTTCTTACAACCTTTTTTGACGATGCGTGCACCGCCCGATAGCTTGCAGGCTGCAGTGGCCGGGGGCTCATGCGAGCTTCTTGCAGTGGCATGATCCTTCATTTCGTAGGCTGCTTGCTTGGCTTTTTCTGCTTCTTCCTTCTTCTCATCTGGGGTTTTGGGCTTCTTGGTTGCTGGCTTTGGCTTGCCCATATCGATTACCTTTCGCTTGTTGCTGGAAGGTGGCGAGCTCGTGGTGCTTGCTGGCTCGGCTGTTGTTGCGGGCTGCTTGCTTGCATCCTTCAAAGCAGCACTCAAAGATCTCTTGGGGTTCTTCGTCTTGTCTGCACTCTCAAGGCCACTGTCTGTCGACTTCGCACGGGCACGGCACTTCGGAGTTTCCACCACCATGGTCTCCTGGGTATCCGTTCTCAAAGGCTTAGCTTTGCTTTTCTGGAAAGCCTTCTTTCCATTGGAATCAGGCGAAACCTCGATCTTCGGCCAGGGATTTTGGGCATCTTCAACCTGACTGTCGTAGGACCTGAGAGCGAACACAATTGCTCGTAGTGCCAAGCAACACGATCA